CGTACATGCCTATATGCAGTGCAACAGAATAAGCCACAGAAAGCTGTGGTGCCATTAAAGCCTGTGAGAGCTTGGATTTTAAAAAACCTTCTAGGTCTCCAGCATACCTCAGATCCATAGCATGTCCTAAAGGAAGGAATTTTTGTTTTCGTTTGTGCCACTGCTTGCTCTTGCCTGCCTGCTTATGAGCTGGCAAATTCCTTGTTCCCATAGGGCACCGAGAAGCTCATTGCTTAAGACTGAAGAGGCAACCTGCCAAAAATGCTATCAGCCACAGAACATGATCAAACCTGTCATCATGACTATTTATTATCACGAAGGTAGGTATGAATCAGACCAGATTTTGTGAACTGCCTTTGAGTGATCCTTGGCAGAACTGCACTGAAATAAATCAGCCACAAATTTGGGACATTGCATTTTCATTAGTCAACAAGGCAGTTGGGGGGGGGGGAGGGAATAAAATGATCACAGAAGCTATAATGCACGATCAAACCACATTCCCCATATAAAACGGGGGCAGTTTCTTGGCAGGGACGCTCATACCCTTCCTAGAGAAATTCACCAGGGGAGTTTTGTTGGGCCATTTTCTCATGCAGAATTTTGCAGGTGTCCAGCTGTAAGGTAAAGGTAAAGGTACCCCTGCCCGTACGGGCCAGTCTTGCCAGACTCTAGGGTTGTGCGCCCATCTCACTCAAGAGGCCGGGGGCCAGCGCTGTCCGGAGACACTTCCGGGTCACGTGGCCAGCGTGACAAAGCTGCAACTGGCGAGCCAGCGCAGCACACGGAAATGCCGTTTACCTTCCCGCCAGTAAGCGGTCCCTATTTATCTACTTGCACCCGGGGGTGCTTTCAAACTGCTAGGTTGGCAGGCGCTGGGACCGAGCAACGGGAGCGCACCCCGCCGCGGGGATTCGAACCGCCGACCTTTCGATCAGCAAGCCCTAGGCGCTGAGGCTTTTACCCACAGCGCCACCCGCGTCCGCACAGCGCCACCCGTGTCCGGTGTCCAGTGTCCAGCTGAGCCACTTAAAAATCCCCATTTTAGTGTATTCTGCTCCATCTATTGTTTATTTCCTTTGGTAATCTTTCTTTTTTTAAAAAAATAATATTTATTGAGAATTTAAAATTACAGAGAGAAAAAAGAAAAAGGAAAAAGAGAAAAAAGGAATTAAACAATACAAGTCAATAAAAAGAAAAGAGTACAAAACACACAATACATCAAAACCAAAAACAAAAGCACAAAAAAAGAATTAAAAACAAATCCAATATTCTCATATCTTTATCTTTCATTAACTTGTTTCATCGACCTCCTCACACCTCCCTTTTTTTTATTCTAATTATTAATTATCTCAGCAAATCCTTTCCATCTTTCACTATATTCTGTCCTTTAGTTATCTTAATTTATTTTAACCTTATCTTACCATAAAAGCCCTAAAACTTAAAACTTATTTGTACATAACTCCTTATAGCATTTCTACTAAAGCCAAATAGTTCCTGGTAATCTTTCTTGGCTGTTTGGTAATTTCTGTTTTGTTTTAAGGATAATTTATTTTTAGGAGTGATTAGTTATTTCAGTTCAACAGGCAATGTATAACCTCCCAAATAAATAAAATCATAATAACACAGCATTTCTATGGCATTTTCAAATGCTCTAAAGGATTCAAATACATTATCTTCTTGTACTTTTCCCAACAACTTGGCAAGGTAGGCCAGTATTACTATTGCCATGTTACAAATGGGAGGCCCAGCTGAGCAGGAGCACACGAAAGCTCATACCAATAACAAACTTAGTTGGTCTCTAAGGTGCTACTGGAAGAATTTTTCTCTCTCCAATTTTCCTCATGTTACTTCTCCTCTAGCCCTTATTTATCTTATTTATAGATCCCCTCCTTTTCCTGAAATGGTTCCGCTTGAAATCAAGGATGCATCTAAAGGAGATCTAACTAATGTTGTTCTCTAAAGTGGTTCTTTAATTTCTCACATGAGCTCCATTCCTGTATTCTGTATTCTGAAAGGCTCATCAGTGAGCCAGGCAATGAACAAAGAGTAACTGTTCCATGTGTTTGTCCATCCAATTGATAATTAACCACTGTTGACCTTAATCATTGGCATTGTCTTCTACTATACTGAAAGGGACTTATCTGCCTCCCAGATGGCAGGTTTACAAGTCTTTTGAGGATAAGATCTGATTCAGAATGTGGATCCTGGAAAAACCTAGCCTGACAAAACCTGGTGGCACACAATTATGGAATGAGACAGCTTCTGGCAGGCCAGAAGAAGATCCCAACGGTCTGGTCACGGCATGATGAAAATAGCTAAAGGTCTCAAGAAGCCAAGCAAAAAATAGCCTGCCCCTTTGATTCTGGTCCCCGGACTCTGCCCACTGGAGACCCTGAGGTAGAGAAAGCCAAAATCTGAAACTTCTTGTTGCATTGCATTGGCTACCTCTGCCCAAAGCTAAGAAGCAACCAAAACCAAAATTCATGTGGCAAAGTGATTATAATAAATGCAGTTGTAATTGCCTGAATTTTTACTATTTCTACATGATGTCTTTGTCTAAAGACCTAATACAGTTTGGTGAATGAAACAAATCATTCTATGTGGGATAATTGAGCAATGAAGGTTTCCCCCTCTAGTGTATCTTGGTATTAGCTGGATCATCCATTTAAACAGGATGCTTTCTTGAGAACAAAATCCCATTTAGAATGCAAAAGGGATTTAGCTTAGTAAAGAAAGCAAAGATAAGAAGGGCATTACGGTTGCTCAGGATATCTCTCATTGAAAGCATAAAAGCAAATCCAAGTCAGACAGTACACAGAATAGGGAAGAGGTTAGTCCTTTTCAATGCAATGAAGAAAGCAACCAACCAGACAAGTCGCATTCCCAAATCATGTGACATTTTTAAAGGCTTGACTATAGCATTTTGGGCCGCTTTGCATTTCCTTTCTGTTCCCCATTATAACACACACACACACACCAAACAGTGGTCCAGTTTTCATGCTTTCCTCCACACCTACAGAACTTGGGGATTTCATCCCTTTGAAGGGTGTGCGCGCTTTTTTTTACAGAATGCTTTCTAGAAGCAAAGCTTTATTGATCTTACTGTCGTGTGAAATCATTACAAAGTTCTGTACACTGAAGCCTAAATAAATAAGATAAATTGACTAAACAACACATGAAAGGGTCAGATGACTTTCAGGCATGACCATTTACTTGAATGAAACCAGGTGTGAAACCATTCTTATGAAAATGCCAAACTTTATCTTTCATAATTAAATAAGGCTAGGAAACCTCGGTTCCCAAATACCTCTTTTAGAACGTTTCAGCTCCCGAACACTGAAAACCCAGAAGTGTTCTGGTTTTCAAACTTTTTGGGAAGCCGAACGTCCAACGCTGCTTCTGCTTGAGTGCAGGAAGCTCCTGCAGCGGTGCTTCAGGTTAAGAACAGTTTCAGGTTAAGAATGGCCCTCTGGAACAAATTAAGTTCTTAACCCAAGGTACCACTGTATTGAACTTTTTGTTTATGCTACACAGATGTTCTGATAAAAAAAAATCAGTCTTAATGGGTTAAGGACTACTAAATTTAATAAGTTTTATTAGGAAACAAAATGTCCAAAAGTAAATTAAGGAAACTGTATAAAATTGAAAACTTATTAATTTTAAATATTTCTGTAACTTCACATATTGGTTTTGATTATTTAAATTGAATATAGTGCATTGCCCTCCCTGTTCAGTAAGCCAGTGAGTATTATTGTTTGGAGCAGGTGCTCATTTGCTTATGTTAAAAATTCAAATGCTTCTTACATTATTTCACCTTTATTTATATGTGTTTAAGGTTTTAAAATACTGTTTTAATCTGGTCTTTGTGACTCTTGGTTTTCAGATAGAAAACATTCACTCTTTGTTAGTTCCTTGCATCTGAGACTGAGCTTTGCATTAATTTATCAGACTGCAAGCTCTTGCTAGATCTATATGATCCATCTCAAGTTGTAGTCAACTCAATTATAAACAGTAATGAGATTGTGAAGTCTGATCATCCTGTCACTATCAGTTAAACAGCAAAATGTCTTAAAACAGCATTATTTTATTAGCACATTGCACGATAGTATGGGATTTCTTATGATCAAGCTCCATTTGTGTGATTTATCTTAAGTTTCTTCTTTAAGAAAAAATAACATCAGAGCTCCATTGCATATTTGCATGCAAGTTGAGGTGGAAGTGGCGCCTGCTTTGAAATATTTTGTTGCCTAACAGTACAGAGATAATTAACAAAACAAGAATTAAAGTGAAGGCTGCTTTACACATTGTAAAATGTATGGGCAGTATCAAACTGAGCCCATCACTGCAAAGATTTATGCTTGTGCAACAGAACTGCCCCGCTTCTCTCTGGATGTGCACTCTGCATCCTTGTCCAAAACTGCTTCAGAGGATTGAGGAAAATCCCAGAGCAGATTGGGAAAGGAGTGTGGGAGGAGGCAAGGGAGGAAATTGCTCAGGTGTAAAACCTTGCACCAATGGACTGAGTTACGATACTGCCCAGTATCTGTGTAAGAATTAACATGCAACCTGTGATAACTGCACATGTGGGTTCCATTGCATATAGACACAAGCGGGCGAGCAAAGGTGAGTCAGAGGTTTCCTGGCTCATATAAAGTATCCGTGTTGCAGAAACCTCTTTGTGCCCTCAAAGCATGTTTGGCCTTCTTGCAGATTGCACACTGCTTCCTGTCTAGAAATCCTGTAACCTCTTCAGTGCACAACCTTTTATCAGAAGAACTGCCTGAAGGTTCTGCAGATTATTTTAGTATATGCAAGCAGCTCCAGTGGAGTCCCTTCCATGTTTCCAGAACTCCTAGGGGAAGGCCTTACCTTTCCTAATGAGGATTACTTTTCTCCCCCGCCCCATTGAATGAATAATTTCACATCTGTATCATAAAAACAGAGATAGCAAGCCCGGAAAGAGATAACATGAAATGAAAATATAACATTGGTCAGAGAAGTTTTTTGCTAGAATACTTTAATTGGTGAATGGTGAAGAAAACATCTGAAATGTGACTAGCATCTTGTAACATCTGTTAAAAATCTGCCAACATTATTTGAAGAGGACAAAATATCTGGGAGTGGGAAGAATTTGTTCTCAAAGGAGGGTCAAATATAAAGCTTTAATGGCAAGGTGTTTTTGCCACCTTCGTTCTCCAGGCCTTTGCCTTTGATCAGGCAATTTACTGACGAAGATGCCTGTCAGGACTGTGTTTGGCTAGAGGAAAGACTGTGCTGGCTATTCATAACAAGAAAACAACTGGCAGTAGAAAGCAGTCTGCATGCTAGGGGCACCAACTGGGCATTCAAGCTCCCATTTACTGGTCTTAGTTAAGGAAGGAAGTGCTTGACAGTGCAATCCTACATTCGTCTACTCAGAAATGAGTCCATCAAAGCTTAGTAGGACTTACTCCCAGGTAAATGTCTATAGGATTTCTGCCTAAGAGGTGCATATGGTTCCACCAGGCCAGGAATATGTTTAAATGCTTTGCTTCAAAGACAATATAGGTGCCTTATGGGTCACAGAAAATGTGTAAGATCTTTCAGGCTTGTTGTTTTCACCAAACAGAAGTGTTTAAATGTTTATGAGTGTTATCCATCCACATCCTTTCCATTCTGCTGGATGAAGAACTCTGTATAACTCGCAAGTCTGCATACTCCTGTGCCAACTGAAGTTGGTCCAACAGAGAGATTGGCATATCTAATACTTTGTATTGCTGAACTGGGGTGATAAAGGCCTAAGCACCAGTCACTTAGCACCTGTGCAACTTGGTCTGCAGGAGCAGATTATGTGATAACTTAGCTTTTAGCGATTGTTTCTAAGGCTTGTAAGAAACATTTTGTGCCAATGACAAAAGAACCCATACTCACTGGCTTTTATGGCACAGTGGAGTTTGATCTGAGCAGTATTTTCTAATTCCTAAACAGTGTTTACAAAATTACAGCATTTGGCTTTTAATATTGTTTCAAAATAAATATATTCTCTCTGTGTCTCTCTCAGTTATGAGGTAACAAATGTGCTTGAGAGAGCTGTGAGTGGAAGAAGATAAAAACAATTTAAAAAAAACAACAACCACAGTTCTATGGTGTTCTAAAACAATGGGACCAGCCCGCTCTGTAGATCAATGAACAAGTTTCTATGCTTGTAACTAGAATTCTCCAGGCATGTAAGTAATACTTGACTGCAGAGGTTACCAGCTAACCTCTTATCTAACAGGGCTCCTGTACCCTAAACAGTTGCACAATAGGCAAACATTCAGCAGGTAAAACTTTTTCTAACATGAAATTACAACAGTGGGAACAAACCCAAGAACTTGGCTTTCTGAATATTTACCTAGTATGCAGCTGTAAAAAGGTTCAGAAGCCCTGCAAGAAAAAAAGTTGGCAATTCCTACATGGATTCCTACAAAGACCTTTCAAGTAAGCTTGCTGTGAAAGGGGGAAATCATTTATTAGATCCCCTTTCTCCTCTTCCTTTGGCAATTTAGGCTTCTTCTGTTGCTGTTTCTGGGACATTTTAAAGCAGAAAACAGATAATCATAGCTCCAGAAGTTAAGTAAGCTAAAATCAGTGAACCACAGGTGTAACTCTCTCATGTGGCATGTAAGCTTTCTTTTTTACAGGCTTTTTAATGCACAAAGGGGCTTGTCACGCAAAGCCTTTATAATAACCATTCTAGGAAAGATGATCAAATTCCCTTCCCAACTTCTCATGAGTCTGTTTTCCTGATAGTCTTACTGTATCATCACTGGCTGTGCAGCCTGATCCTAGGCATGTTCACTCAGAGGTCCATGCTCAGTGGTCCTTGCTCCCAAGTTAAGTGTGCATACCTGAGTCTATGCATGTTTGCTCAGATGTAAATACCACTGAACTAAATGAACTTGCTCTGAAGTAAAATACAGTGGTACCTCTAGTTATGGACTCAATCCGTTCTGGGGTGCTGTTCACACCCAGAAAGGTCTGCAACTAGAGTGCCACTTCTGCGCATGTGCGAGGTGCACAGAGCGCTTCTGTGCATGCGGCAAAACCTGGAAGTATACACTTCCGGGTTTGCCACATTCGTATCCTGAAAAAATGCAGCTGGAGGCTGACGTAACAAGAGGTACAACTGTATGACTATAGCTGCAGCCCTACAGTGCAATCCTATACATGCCTATTTAGAAGGGAGTCCCATGGAATTCCAAGGGTCTGCAATCCTGTTACCTGCAATACCGTGGAGAAAATCCCATTTATTTCATGGGTCTTACTTCTGTAGAGACACGTATAGGATGGCACTGTTAGTTTTGCAGGATGAGAACCCATGTAAACAATACCAATTTCTCCTGGACTGCAGAAATCCACAGGAATCCTACAAGGGGAGAGTATTCTTGCCATTTTCTTTATGCTTAGCAGCACAACTAACCATGGATTGAAAAAGAAAAAATGGCCAGGATTCATCTAACCATTCTCTTGTTTGGGAGCCCTGCACAGGTTCTCACACTAGAGGAATTGGGATTTCCCCCTTCCCCCTCCCTGCAAATCTACTCGATTGAGAGAACCCCCTCAGAACAGTGAGAGGAGGGTCCGGCAAACTCAAATGCTTACACTGATGGAACTTAGAATTCCACCCATTGAGGTGACTTGTCAGCCCGGGGGGCAGTTCTCTCGCTTACACAAAATATTTGTTCTCTTCAGAATATCCACTTGGTACGGAATCCTTCTTTGTACTTCATCAGCTTAGTCAAAGTGTCTTTGGGCTTCCTCCCACAACCCAATGCTTCTCATTGCTGCAGTGAGCTGGGCCTCTGGTTCATGAAAATCACCAGAATGATGCACTAATAGATTGAAAGGCCAGTCAGAGTATTTAAGTCTGATTGGATTTAGTGAAGAAGGGGTGGGATGTCTGCAGTCAAATGTTACAGTAAGAAAGTATGATTGAGAAAATGTTTTCCTGGTTATTGCTACAGTGTATAGACTGGTTATGAAAAGATAATAAAATCTGTTAGCATAATGCTTAGAACACAGCACCAGGCAGCAGCCGCAGGTCACCAAAGATCCAGGCAGCTCAAGATTTTACATTTCAAGTGCATCAACACACAATCAACATACAGAATTCTCTTTTAACACAGCAGTACATGGGTGTTGCGTTCTGAACGGAGCCTAAAGGGCTGTCCTCCTTGCCCCCCCCCCCCCCGCTTTCAGGCACTGCTGCACACCCTCACACCCAACTGAAATGGCAGGGACACTTTTCTCGAAACACACGTCACTCCAGGAAGTAGCACCGCATCATGTGGACTGTGGTAATAAGAACCCGACACAATGCCAGACCATAAATACCTTGGAGATGTCTATCTTAAGACTGAAAACCAGTTTCCACAAAGGCTGGCTTCAATGAGCCAGTGAAGCAATATACACTGAATATGTACTTTCATCTGCATCAGTTTTTCTCCTCCCAACCACAGCATCTTTCCCCTATCAAGCAGTATTTCTTAAGTCTAGTTCTTCATGCACACATCACCTTGGGCTTCTACCGAGATCCTGAGATGGCAGCACAAACTTTAATCCAGATGAAACAGGGTCCTGCCCTGCGCTATCCAGCCTTCTGGCTTTCATCTCCCATTACATATATCCAGATCTAGTTAAAAAGACACCTTCCAGAGGAATTTCAACAAGGGTATGCGTTGTGTGGGTTAGTCCACAGGGACGGAAGCAGCTGATAAAACCATGTGGTCCTCGCCTGTATTCTAGTCCTGCTAGAATGGGAAAACTCAGGCGAGGCTCCCTCCTCTGCCTCGGGCTCATGGCGGCTTCGCAGCGGGAGGGGGAAGCGGACATGCGCAGATCTGACCTGCATCCCAAGTGCCAGCCAACACGAAAACGATACCCTGCCTCTTAATGGGGAAGCAAACGGAAGGGGTCTGGGAAAGCATGGAGAGGTGGATGGGCCCAGGCATTCATCTGATGCTCCGTAAGGGACGTGTCAAGCCAGGAGATCAAGCTCCGTCCGGGTTTCCTGGTCTACCGTTGCTTTTTCTTCTGCTTGAGGGACTTTCTGCGCTTGAGGATCATCTCGTAGAGTTTGTCCATGCCTTCGGTGAGCCCCTCGCCGATGATGGCGCAGGCGGGCTGGACGTGGTAGGTGGTGGCCGGGGTCAGCTCGTGCAGCGCCAGCTGCTTCTCGATCTCCGCCACCGGCAGCGACTTGGGCAGGTCCTGCTTGTTGGCGATGACCAGCAAGGGGGTGCCCTGGTTCTCGGCGAACTTGGTGACTTTGTGCAGCTCCGTCTTGGCTTCCTCCAGCCGGTCCACGTCCACCGAGTCCACCACGTAGATGATGCCGTCGGTGCAGCGGCTGTAGGACTTCCAGAGCGGGCGCAGCTTCTCCTGGCCGCCCACGTCCCAGAAGTGGCAGCTGATGCCCTTGGCCGAGCCGTTGCTCAGCTTGATCTTCTCCGTGTTGAAGCCGATGGTGGGCACCGTGTTGACGAACTCGTTGAATTTGAGCCGGTACAGCACCGTGGTTTTGCCCGCCGAGTCCAAGCCCAGCATGACGATGTGCAGCGATTGGAAGGCGGAGATGTTGGAGGAGATGTTCCCCATGGCGCCGCGGACGCACGGGGGGACGGAGCGCCGGCTCCTCGCCGAAAGAGCCTCCTGCGCCGGGCGCAGCTTCCTCCCGGATCTGGCGGGGAGGCGAGCCTGGCCTCGCTCCGGCGGCGCCTTCTCACCACGCGCCCGGCTCCGAGCGGCGGCGGCCGCCGGCGGCGCTCATGACTCCGCAGCCCTGCCGAGCGCCGAACAAAGGCGGCTCGCCGGCGAGACCTTCCACCCGCGAGGGAGGCGGAGAGACTCGGGGCTCCGGTTCAGCTGCGCCTCCCGGCCCATTCATTCATTTTTCAGGCGGGAAGCAGCAGCGGCGGCGGCGCCCTCCTCCTCTTCCTCCTGGGTTCTGCCCCCCTTCCCGAGGGAAGAGGCCTCCTTCCCCGCTCCGCTTCCCCGACGAGGCGCCCGGGAGGAAGCCCCGACCGCGCGCGCTCCCAGCGGCTCCTTGCCAGCCTCCAGCCCCGCAACTGCAGTTCAATCCATCAAAGCCCTCCTCCCGCCTCCCTCCGTAGCGCGCAGTCCCACGCCCAGCCGGAGAGCGGCGAAGGGAGGGGCTGCACAAGCGCGCGCGCCCCCGCCACGGCCTCCTCCCCGGCTTCCTCTTCCCTCGGGCTCCCCGCCCACCAATCTCCCGCCCCTTCTCCTTCCCTTCCCCACCGAGGAGAAGGTGGCCGGCCGGCGTCTGGGCTGTACCACTTTCCGGCGGGAGGTGAGCGCTTCCCGAATGGAGCCACCGTCGTATCCGAAGTAGATGGAACAAAACCCTGAGACTAAGGAGGAAGAGTGGAGATTGATGTGAGGGAGGACTGTTAGCATCACAAGGGGACTCAAGGCAGCTTACAACGAAAATCGAAGCGGCTGAAAACATACAGAAAGAAACGCAGTAACCGAAACACAATTAAACATTAGTGGGATTAAAATACATACACATAAAAGAACACATAAAATCATTACAATAGAAACTGCCGGGCGGTCACTTCCCCAAAGCCCCTTGGGACAAGAAAGTCCTCAGCTGCCCGTTGAAGGAGAACAAGGAGGAAGCCCGTCTATAGAGAGGAAGGTCCAAAGTGGGGGGACCAAGAGAAGGGCCTCCCCAAAAGATCTCCAAGCCCAGGCAGGTTTGCATGAGAGAATGCAGTCTCTCAACAGGCTACTTCGTCCTGATAGCTAGTTAAATATGTCCACAAATTTCGTGTGAGCCTCCAGAGAAACATTAAATCATCAGAAGTGGTTATGGGGCAGGCACAGGGTAGCTACTTCAGGGGGATATTTTGCTTTTTGGGAGTATACAGTGGTACCTCTGGATGCAAATGGGATCCGTTCCAGAGGTCCGTTCGCAACATGAATAGAATGCAACCCGCAGCAGCACGTATGCGCATGTGCGGGTTGCGACTCACCACTTTTGTCCATGCGCCTGATGTCATTTTGTGCGTCTGCGCATGTGCGAGTGGCAAAACCTGGAAGTAACCCTTTCTGGTATTTCTTGGTCGCTGCGGGACGCAACCTGAAAAAAAGTATCATGAAGCAAATGTAACATGAGGTATGACTGTACTTCTATCCCATCCATAAGAATCCCTGAAACAACTTGCATAACATTGTTAAAGTACAGTTATATTTAGACTGGGACGCGGGTGGCACTGTGGTCTAAACCACTGAGCCTAGGGCTTGTCGATCAGAAGGTCGGTGGTTCAAATCCCCGCGACAGGGTGAGCTCCCGTTGCTCGGTCCCTGCTCCTGCCAACCTAGCAGTTCAAAAGCATGTCAAAGCCAAGTAGATAAATAGGTACTGCTCCGGCGGGAAGGTAAACGGCATTTCCGTGCACTGCTCTGGTTCACCACATGACCCTGCCACATGACCCGGAAGCTGTACGCCGGCTCCCTTGGCCTGTAGAGCAAGATGAGCTCTGCAACCCCAGAGTCGTCCTTGACTGGACCTAACAGTCAGGGGTCCCTTTACCTTATATTTAGACTGCCTTGATCATTTTGGCCAGAGGTGGGAAAACTCAGGCCTGGGGGTGAGGTGGGGACAAACGAGATTATCCAGTCTTGCTTTCTGGCACTCTGCCTCCCCTGGCCACATCCCACACCAGCCCTGTGTCATCCTCTCCTTGGCTGCTTTTGCCTAGTGAGAGTGGGATGTAGGAGGCAGGCATAGTTGCTGTGCCACACTACTGTCTTGAGTGCAAGGTATCAGTGGCGTAGCATGGGGGTGCAGGGGGGGCCGACCGCACCGGGCGCAACATCGGGGGGGGGCGCTCGCACTCGCAGCTCTCTGCCCCTACCTGGCTCACTCACTCTCTCTCACTGCAGTGCTGGCTAACAAACAATACATGTGCTTAGGGGGTAAGGGTTTCTTTAACTAATCTAGTGGAAGAGACTCAAGTGCTAAAATCGACGGGTTAGGGGGTGCAAATTACTTGCCTTGCCCCGGGTGCTGACAACCCACGCTATGCCACTGCAAGGTATCACTGTCTCTTAGCCTCACCTACCTCTTGGGGTTGTTGTGAAGATAAAAGAGGCAGGAGGAGAACCATCAAAGTCCCTCCAAGCTCCTTGTATCAAGGGTGGGGGGAGATAATAATTTGTTATCTTGCTCAGTGGGACATACGTGGGCAGTTATTTGTCCCTTTTCATCTTCACAGTGGTGGAGGCATAGAATGCTGCTGCAGACCTGACGAAAATCCTTCTTCTGAAGCATGTGCTTGGGCCACCCCATGACATTTTGGCCCTTGAGGCAAACCACAAATAGTGCTGCTCCCCCCCCCCCCAGCTTAGGGAGAAGGAGTGAGTGAAGGGAACAAGGGAGGGAGAAGACCAGCAGTGAGTCCTATTCGCCAAGAGGCTACTGTAGAGGCAGCACGGGGGGGGGGGGGGCTGCCAAGGGGACAGCAGATCCAGTCTCCAAGGAGCGTGCTGCAGCGCTCTGTCGCTGTCACTGCAGGAGCAGCGGTGAGCAATTCCTTGGAGCCCAAACAGAGGTAACCTCTGCCCCATAGAACTGATCACATGATACGGTACCCCCCCCCCACCATTTGAATGGCAATGCCCATCAACATGTGGTGCGGTCCCCTCAAATATTTTATTGGGAGGCCCAAAGGGGCATTGAGCTCTAGGAGTTGGCTTCTATGAGCCTGGATGTGCTGCCCCTATGGATCCTGCCACCTGAGGCGGTTGCCTTGCCTTGTGGGTGGGCTGCTGGCCCTACCCACCCCTTGGCTGGATTAAAGATCTGGCTCCAAGTCTCTAAAGCAAGCCAAAAGAGCACAGTGCAGTGCTGAGAGGCCGTTCACCAGTACTCATGAGCTGTCGGTCTCAAATACCTGATTAGCCCTTTAGCCAGGCAACCATGGCTATGCGCTGCAGCAGTTCCAGCGATTGCCGCAGGTGGGAAATGTGTTGCTATGGCTGTGGGAATTGGTGGGTTGGCCATGCTGCTGTTGGGTTCATGCACTGTGTTTGTTGGGCGGTTGCATGTCCAAGGAAGGTTTGGTCTGAGGGCATGGAGGAAAGAAATGCCCTTTAGAAGTCAATTTGTTCACAAAAATGACAGAGGTGGAGAGAGCAAATGGAGCAACTGCTTGCTTGGGGGTTATATTTGCTTCAGAACTTTGCTTCCTGCCAGACTTCTCCCATCATTCAGTCTTGCCACACCTGTCATCACATCTCCTGCTGCTTCCCAGTGTGGGAAGGCAGGGACCTTGAGGATAACCTTCAGGGGCCACTATACCAACAGTATATTCTCTCTCATACATAACTGATACACAGCACGCAACCATTCATTCACTATTTCATAGAGATGCAGAGAGAAACTCTTGCTCTTACTGGGTAAAGGATTGTGTTTTGAATTTACCAAACAGCAACTTATTTGTAAAGCTCGGTTGGTTTATCCTGAGGGTTGCATTGCAAAGAAAGACTGGATATTTCCCCATATTTCTAAAACCAGTTTGGAGTCAAGTTTCAGGTTCCATATTAAAATATATAGGTGAGCTTCAAGGAAACAAACAGTACAAAGGATAATGATTAGCAGATACTTCAAATATTTCTGACTGACTAGGACATTCTTGAACGAGGAATGTACACACCCCATACTGACTAACCATCAAAACAGTTCAGAAGTTCAGGAAAACAAATGCAAGGTGGTTCTTTTAAAATGAGATTCAGACGTAATACAAAACACAAGTGAATGAGAAGATTTTATTCTAAACAGCAAGCAATCTATACATGCCAAGCAAGTACCTCAATCTGCCACTTGGAAGTCCTCAAGAAGTGGCAAAGTGACTCCCCAGGTAGCCTCAGTTTGCCCATGGCTGGATCAGTCGGTGCACGAGCTTCTCATAAACTATGCCCAAAATTATCTGATTTATAGATAGCTAGCCTGCTAGCCTCTGTGGCTTGCCTGACTGGCCACATACAGATTACAATTTATCTTCCAGATGGATGGCCCATACACAGCTTTGTATCGGTAGCAATTTCTAATCAGGGATTTTCCAGAAAATGTCTCGGTTGCACACCCATCACAACACCATCTGTAAGCTGTGACGAAAGGCTCCTGGAAGTCAAAGAACAACCTTTTGTAACAAACAGCTGTCCCTTTGTCTTAAAGCAAACTTTGCTAACAACATTCAAGAGACCTTGTTTGCTAGAGCATTTAGTGCTGCTGAGCAATTGCTCTTTTTGGCCTTTGAATGGAAGTAGGCTTACCTGTGCACATCCAGGCATCCGGTTGGCCACCGTGAGACCAGTAGGCTGGTGGGCCACTGTCCTGATCCAGGAGGCAATTCTCTTTTTTTTTAATTGTCACATCCAAAATAGATTACTGAAATAAACTTTAAATAGGCCTGCCTTTCAAGATTATTTGATGCACTCAGCTGATGCAAAATTAGGCAGCTGACTTCCTTTAGGGACTAGGTGGTCAGAACATTTTATACTTATAATGTACTAGTTGTGCAGGTTGTCAGTGCCCTTCCAGCTCAATTCAGAGTGCTGGTTCTGATCTTCAAAGCCCTGGGCAGTTTGAGAGCAGGTTAGTGGAGATCACCGATACCCATATCAAACTGTCTGTACCTTGAGATCTTGCCTAAATGACCACCCAAAAAGGCATGCACAATTGAGCCGTTTCTGCAGTGACTTTCTTCTGAGATTAGGCAGGCCTCATCATCATCAACGTTTACTAGATCCTTGAAAACTTTTATTCTTGAGGACCTTTGGGAGTTAATGTACATTGCTGTTCAATGCTCGGCCTTGGTTTTTAAATTGATTTATAGTTGGCTATTGGCTTTATTTTTAGGATAGTCATTCCATGACTATTTTACATATTGTAATAATGTTGTGATTTTAAGTATTGTTGTAAGCTGCTCTGAGGAGAAACTTTCTCCAAAGGTGGGGTATTAATTTATGGTTTAATTGTATTGAGCTGTATGTAACCCGTCTTGGGAGTCAAGACTGCATGGCAAAGGGTATAAATGCCTCTAAATAAATTCATAGGGAGAATCCATAAGGGGATCATTTTGTCAGGGAAGCATTTTCCTTTGCCAGATGGAATAATCCCCCTCTCCTTT